ATGTGCTTGCAGGGCAGAGACCGGATGGGGTCCCCGCCCACCAAGTCCTCCAGACAGACCGCGCACTCGGGGGTCTGCGTTTTGCACCCATTACTTTCGTACACGACTCGAGGCGGGCTCTGAAAGAAGCGGATCCTTCGACGGAAGGTCAAAGGCGCCCCCGGCGGGGCCGCCCCCGCTCCGCGCCACTCCGGACTCCGCGGTCCCCCTGCCCTCCGGCCGTCTCCGTCTCTCCGCTCGCGGAAGGTGGCTGGAGGCCCAGGGACCAGGCTGTTGTCCCTTGTGCAGGAGGTGAAGAAGTTCCCCATCTTTCAGGCCTGGGGGTGAGGTCACTGTCCGCTGCTGACAGTCGGCTATGCAAGACACCTTCTGGTTCCCAGGTCTAGAGAAGAAGAAGGACTCAAGTTATTTCAGTTTCTCCCACCAGTGTCTCTAAACTGACAGGGAAAGAACTGTCGTCTGGACTCTAGCTAGACAGATGAGCTATCAGCTCCATTCTGTTGTTGTTTTAGTGGCTCAGTTTTCCGACTCTTGGCAACCCCGTGAACTTTAGCCCCCAGGCTCCTCTGTCCTTGGAATTCTCCAGGCAAGAATACTGGAATGGGTTGCCATGCCCTCTTCCGGTGGATCTTCCCCACCCAGGGATCAAACCAGGTTTCCCTCATTGTAGCCAGATTCTTTACCATCTGAGCCATCAGGAAAGCCCATGAATACTGGAGTAGGTAACCTATCCCTTTTCCAGGGGATCTTCCCGACCCAGGAATTGAACCGGGGTCTCCTGCATTGCAGGTGGATTCTTTACCAGCTGAGCTACCAGCGAGCCTTGAATGCTTGCTGCTGCTGCTGCTAAGACACATCAGTCATGTCTGGCACTGTGTGGCCCCATAGACGGCAGCCCACCAGGCTCCCCCGTCCCTGGGATTCTCCAGGCAAGAATACTGGAGTGGGTTGCCATTTCCTTCTCCAATGCATGAAAGTGAAAAATGAAAGTGAAGTCGCTCAGTCATGTCTGACTCTTAGCAACCCCATGGACTGCAGCCTATCTGGCTCCTCCATCCATGAGATTTTCCAGGCAAGAGTACTGGAGTGGGGTGCCATTGCCTTCTCCACTTGAATGCTTACCAGGATCCAAATCTATAGAGAAGATGACAAAGCCAATTCTCTGCTCGGGTCACGATCACCACGGAGTGTCTCTCTGGAAACTAAGCCCCTTTCGGATGGTGAACTCTCCTTATATGCAGTTAATAACCCCATCATTGATATAACCTCATCAGGTATGGAACCCCTTGGATCACATAATCTCATCACGCAGGTAATCCAGGGCACCCACCAGAGTAACCCACCTGGATACCAGTCAGAACAAATCTAATCGACCGCACCTCTTTAACAAAGTATTTCCCCCAGCCATGGAACATGGCAATGATACAATTACGGAAAACTGGCATTTCCTGGAATTCTGCTCCTTCAGTCTGCCAGATGGAGTGGCTATCTGTTTTGTGAGTGGCCAGTGGCCTCACTGCTTTGTGAGTTTGCATCATCCTGGATGCAGTTAGAGACTGTTACTAGTTCTTAGCAGCAGAACCATCCTTATTCCCAGGACAACACCTAAGCTACCAGCATCCTCTCAAGCTGGGACAGCGAAAGGAGAAATGCTGGCGCTGAAAAAAGATACAGTTTTCAGGGATCTGGAGCACCCCATGTTGTACTCTCAAGTCTGAGAAAACCATCCGGCATGGGTCTCTTCAGGTCAAATTTAGCTGCTGTCCCTAAGGACCAGAATATCCTCCAAGCTTCAAAATACTGCAGAATCCTGGAATGAATTATCTAGTTGTATAACTGATCTTCCTCTAATGTCATTTTTCAACTCTTTTATTTTCCAATAATGTTTAAAAATTGGATATCATAGGACACAGCTTAAATAATAAAATCATAAATTACCTTTGAAGAAAAATCAAGCCAGATCTTTTCATTTTCAGTTCAGTTCAGTTCATTTCAGTCTCTCAGTCTTGTCTGACTCTTTGCGACCCCATGAACTGAAGCACACCAGGCCTCCTTGTCCATCACCAACTCCCGGGGTCCACCCAAACCCATGTCCATCGAGTCGGTGATGCCATCCAACCACTAACACTAACCCATCCTCTGTCGTCCCCTTGTTCTCCTGCCCTTAATCTTTCCCAGCAACAGGGTCTTTCCCAATGAGTCAGCTCTTTGCATCAGGTGGCCAAAGTATTGGAGTTTCAGCTTCAACATCAGTCCTTCCAATGAACACCCAGGACTGATCTCCTTTAGGATGGACTGGTTGGATCTCCTCACAGGCCAAGGGACTCTCAAGAGTCTTCTCCAACACCACAGTTCAAAAGCACCAATTCTTCAGTGCTCAGCTTTCTTTATAGTCCAACTCTCACATCCATACATGACCACTGGAAAAACCATAGCCTTGACGAGATGGACCTTTGTTGGCAAAGTAATGTCTCTGCTTTTTACTATGCTGTCTTGGTTGCGCATAACTTTCCTTCCAAGGACTAAGCGCCTTTTTATTTTATGGCTGCAGTCACCATCTGCAGTGATTTTGGAGGCCAGAAAAATAAAGTCAGCCACTGTTTCCATTGTTTCCCCACCTATTTGCCATGAAGTGATGGGACTGGATGCCGTGATCTTAGTTTTCTGAATGTTGAGCTTTAAGCCAACTTTTTCACTCTCCTCTTTCACTTTCATCAGGAGGTTCTTTAGTTCTTCTTCACTTTCTGCCATAAGGGTGGTGTCATCTGCATATCTGAAGTTATTGATATTTCTCCCAGCAATCTTGATTCCAGCTTGTGCTTCCTCCAGCCCAGCATTTCTCATGATGTACTCTGCATATAAGTTAAATAAGTAGGGTGACAATATACAGCATTGATGCACTTCTTTTCTTATTTGGAACCAGTCTGTTGTTCCATGTCCAGTTCTAACTGTTGTTTCCTGACCTGCATACAGATTTCTCAAGAGGAAGTTCAGGTGGTCTGGTATTTCCATCTCTTTCAGAATTTTCCACAGTTTATTGTAATCCACACAGTCAAAGGCTTTGGCATAGTCAATATAGCAGAAATAGATGTTTTTCTGGAACTCTCTTGCTTTTTCGATGATCCAGTAGATGTTGGCAATTTGATCTCTGGTTTCTCTGCGTTTTCTAAAATGAGCTTGAACATCTGGAAGTTCATGGTTCACGTCTTGCTGAAGTCTGGCTTGGAGAATTTTAAGCATTACTTTACTAGTGTGTGAGATGAGTGCAATTGTGCGGTAGTTTGAGCATTCTTTGGCATTGCCTTTCTTTGGGATTGGAATGAAAACTGACCTTTTCCAGTCCTGTGGCCACTGCTGAGTTTTCCAAATGTGCTGGCATATTGAGTGCAGCAATTTCACAGCACCATCTTTCAGGATTTGAAATAGCTCAACTGGAATTCCATCACCTCCACTAGCTTTGTTCGTAATGATCCTTCCTAAGGCCCACTTGACTTCACATTCCAGGATGTCTGGCTCTAGGTGTGTGATTACACCATCATGATTATCTGGGTCATGAAGATCTTTTTTGTACAGTTCTTATGTGTATTCTTGCCACTTCTTCTTCATATCTTCTGCTTCTGTTAGGTCCCTACCACTTCTGTCCTTTATTGAGCCCATCTTTGCATAAAATGTTCCCTCGATATCTCTAATTTTCTTCACGACATCTCTAGTCTTGCCCATTCTATTGTTTTCCTCTATTTCTTTGCATTGATCACTGAGGAAGGCTTTCTTATATCTCCTGGCTATTCTTTGGAACTCTGCGTTCAAATGTGTATATCTTTCCCTTTCTCCTTTGTTTTTCGCTTCCCGTCTTTTCACAGCTATTTGTAAGGCCTCCTCAGGCAGCCATTTTGCTTTTTTGCATTTCTTTTTCTTGGGGATGGTCTTGATTCCTGTCTCCTTACAATGTCATGAACCTCTGTCCATAGTTCATCAGGCACTCTGTCTATCATATTTAGTCCCTTGAATCTATTTCTCACTTCCACTGTATAGTCATAAAAGATTTGATTTAGGTTATAGCTGAATGGGCTAGTGGTTTTATCCACTTCTATTTCAGTGAGTTTGGCAATAAGGAGTTCATGATCTGAGCCACAGTCAGCTCCCAGTCTTATTTTTGCTGACTGTATAGAGCTTCTTCATCTTTGGCTGCAAGGAATATAATCAATCTGATTTCAGTGTTGACCATCTGGTGATGTCCATGTGTAGAGTTTTGTCTTGTGTTGTTGGAAGAGGGTGTTTGCTATGACCAGTGTGTTCTCTTGGTAGAACTCTATTAGCCTTTGCCCTGCTTCATTCTGTACTCCAAGGCCAAATTTGCCTGTTATTCCAGGTGTTTCTTGACTTCCTACTTTTGCATTCCATGACCCTATAATGAAAAGGACATCTTTTTTGGGTGTTAGTTCTAGAAGGTCTTCATAGAACCGTTCAACTTCAGCTTCTTCAGCATTACTGGTTGGGGCATAGACTTGGATTACCGTGATATTGAATGGTTTGCCTTGGAAATGAACAGAGATCATTCTGTCGTTTTTGAGATTGCACCCAAGTACTGCATTTCGGACTCTTTTGTCGACTATGATGGCTACTCCATTTCTTCTAAGGGATTCTTGCCCACAGTAGTACATATACTGGTCATCTGAGTTAAATTCACCCATTCCAGTCCATCTTAGTTCGCTGATTCATAGAATGTGATGTTCACTCTTGTCATCTCCTGTTTGACCACTTCCAATTTGCCTTGATTCATGGACCTAACATTTCAGGTTCCTATGCAATATTGCTCTTTACAGCATCAAACCTTGCTTCTATCACCAGTCCCATCCACAACTGGGTGTTGTTTTTGTTTTGGCTCCATCTCTTCATTCTTTCTGGAGTTATTTCTCCACTTATCTCCAGTAGCATATTGGGCACCTACCAACTGGGGAGTTCATCTTTCAGTGTCCTTTCTTTTTGCCTTTTCATACTGTTCATGGGGTTCTCGAGGCAAGAACCCTGAAGTGGTTTGCCATTCCCTTCTCCAGTGGACCACATTCTGTCAGACCTCTCCACCATGACCTGTTTGTCTTGGGTGGCCCCACACGGCATGGCTAAGTTTCACTGAGTTAGACTAGCTGTGGTCCGTGTGATCAGATTGGCTAGTTGTCTGTGATTGTGGTTCCAGTCTGTCTGCCCTCTGATGCCCTCTCTCAGTGCCTACCGTCTTACTTGGTTTTCCCCTACCTTGGATGTGGGGTATCTCTTCACGGCTGCTCCAGCAAAGCGCAGCGACTGGCCCTTACCTTGGACTTGGGGTAGCTCCTCCCAGCCGCTGCCCCTGACCTCGGGCATGGGGTAGCGCCTCTTGGCCGCATTTGTGTGCCGTCGCAGCTGCCATGCTTCCTAGCTTGCTAGCGCTTTTAATTTTAGGTACAGATATTTGATTCCAAGCAGATCATTTTATAAAACCCTGTAGGGTGTATTATATTCATAACAACCATTTTATGTCATCTGTGCTCAACAAACATGGTTTGCTTTTATGTTCTTGTGTCTTTACAGCCTGACTTAAGCTGTAGCATTCGTGAGGCAAATGATTTTTTTTCCCCCCAGAAATTTATATATAAGCCAAAAGACTCTGAACAAGGCCAGTGCCATTTAGGGAGAATTAGCCTGAAATATAGGAAGGACAGATTTTCAATTACTTTGGAGTTTAAAGGCTAGTTTAAAAGAGAAAATTTAAGGAAACAAAAATATCCTCTAGACATGATTCTGAAGGAAAACATTCATGGAGCTGGGGAAATAAAATGATAAACACATAGTAGTAAAATTAGTAAAATTTTATTTCAGCAGCTGGAAATAGGACCAAAGTTTTACAGTTTTTTCCCCCCATGGTGTCAGAACTTGGGTAAAGTGGCAGCAGTGAACAGAACAACTGTGCCTGGGAGCTGAGGGCAGGCTGGGGGTGGGGCTGTGGGGCAGAGGTGGGGGTGCTGGACTGGGCAGGGCAGCAGGACTGGATTCCGGGCCCCAGAGTCATGACAGGTCAAAGGTTCTCCATCAAAGGCATGTGGAAACCACTGAGTGAATTAATGATATAACTGCATTTGGTTTTGTGAATGAGATTTTCCCTTTGGAATGGAGTGAATTATTTCAATTCAGTTCAGTTCAGTTGCTCAGTCATGTCTGACTCTTTGCAGCCCCATGGACTGCAGCACGCTAGGCTTCCCTGTCCATCACCAACTCCCTGAGCTTGTTCAAACTCATGTCCATTGAGTTGGTGATGCCATCCAACCATCTCATCCTCTGTCATTCCCTTCTCCTCCCACCTTCAATCTTTCCCAGCATCAGGGTCTTTTCCAAATGACTCAGTTCTTCACATCAGGTGGTCAAAGTATTGGAGTTTCAGCTTCAATGTCAGTCCATTCAATGAATATTCAGGACTGATTTCCTTTGGGATTGACTGACTTGATCTCCTTGCAGTCCAAGGGACTCTCAAGAGTCTTCTCCAACACCACAGTTCAAAAACATCAATTCTTCAGCGCTCAGCTTTCTTTATAGTCCAACTCTCACATCCATGCATGACCACTGGAAAAAACATAGCTTTGACTGTGTGGATCTTTGTTGGCAGAGTAATGCTTCTGCTTTTTAATATGCTGTCTAGGTTGGTCATAGCTTTTCTTCCAAGGAGCAAGCATCTTTTTATTTCATGGCTGCAGTCACAATCTGCAGTGATTTTGGAGCCCAAGAAAACAGTCTCTCACTGTTTCCATTGTTTCCCCATCTGTTTGCCATGAAGTGATGGGGCCAGATGCCATGATCTTCGTTTTTTGAATTTTGAGTTTTAAGCCAGCCTTTTCACTTCCTCTTTCACTTTCATCAAGAGGCTCTTTAGTTCTTCACTTTCTGCCATAAGGGCGGTCTCATCTGCATATTTGAGGTTATTGGTATTTCTCCCAGCAATCTTGATTCCAGCTTGTGATTCATCCAGGCCAGTATTTCTCATGATGTACTCTGCATATAAGTTAAACAAGCAGGGTGACAATATACAGCCTTGACATACTCTGCTCCAAATTTGGAACTAGTCTGTTACTCCATGTCCAGTTCTAACTGTTGTTTCCTGACCTGCATACAGGTTTCTCAGGAGGCAGCTCAGGTGGTCTGGTATTCCCGTCTCTTGAAGAATTTTCCACAGTTTGCTGTGATCCACACAGTCAAAGGCTTTGGTGTAGTCAATAAAGCAGAAGTAGATGTTTTTCTGGAAATCTCTTGCTTTTTTGATGATCCAACAGATGTTGGCAACTTGATGTCTGGTTCCTCTGCCTTTTCTAAATCCAGCTAAATCTGTAAGTTCTTGGTTCATGTATTGTTGAAGCCTCGCTTGAAGAATTTTGAGCATTACTTTGCTAGTGTGTGAGATGAGTGTAATTAATTGTGAATTAATTCAACAGGGTATTATTGAATTTTAAGAAACATATGACAGACAATATTAGGGAGGCAGTAGATGGATGAGAAAGAGGAAAATAGAACTGACAAAGCGATTTTTTTTTTTCTGATGTTACTCACCATGAATGAAGCAGTGCCAGGCATTGCTGTGGGTGCTGGGTATGCAGTGGTGGAAAAGTTGTAGTTTTTAACCTTTGATGTATTTAAAATCTAAATAAACTGTTACTAAATGACAAATTACATTAGTATGTTAGCCTAAATTAAAACGTTTTCAAAGAGAACTAAATTCTTCGCCTGGTTAGGGTTCGGGCCAGCGTAGGGAAGCCTGTCTGGGGAAGCGTTACCTGGAGCGTGTCAGTGCCTGGTCAGAGCAGTGCTGGGTGGTGGGCGTGGGGGTGGGGGCCCCGGGAGGGAGCCTTCTCCCCAGGGGAGGGGGGTCTGCACCAGGGCTCCTGCCCTGACCCTGGTGACTGCTGAGGCCACCAGCTGGAGGACCAGGGGGGCAAGTCCTCTTGTTGAGCTCGTGGCCTGTGTCCACTCCGGCGATCAATCACAAACAGGGCCCATCAAGTTCCCATCCTCCCTGCGGCCCTCAAGTTCGTCCCCCCATCTCCCTCCTCCTTCATTCCCTAGACCCAGTCCTCCCCACTCCCGCCAATCCTTCTAGAAATTCTTTTACCTGCCTTTAGTCCTCCAGAGTTTGGGGGTTGGGAACTGCTTAGAGTTCAAGCACCCCCACACCCTGCTGTCTTCCTCGGTCTTCTCTGCCCCTCAGAGAACTGGCCAGAGAACCTTGTACTGACCCCACGGGGGTGCTGGGAGGGGCTTGCAGCCTGGTTGGGTCCCATCCCCAGGAAACACACAGTGCAAAGAGGACCAGGCTGCCTGCTCTTTAACAGTGTCAGGACCACCCCCTTCACCCCGCCAACCACAGGGACACACCCAGCCCCTTCTCCAGCGCATCCATTCAGGTTTCAATAAGCAGCCTCCTCTGGCTGTAGGGCCCCCTGGAGTCCGAGGCAACCCCTTAGCAGGGGTTGAAGGCTGAGGCCCTTTCTCTCCCACCCAGCACCTCAGAATGTGTGGAGCTGGGACACCCCCAGGTGCCCATCTCTGCTCTGATGACAGGTGAGAAGGAGCACAGTTCCAGAGCACAAAGGGCTGGCCAGAAGCCACTTACAGGTTTGGAGCCTAGGTCAGACCTCTGAGCCCAGGAGCCCTGTTTGCCAGTCCAAGCTCGCTCTGACCCACAGCTCAGAGATGTGGGGGAGCAAGTTTAAACAGATGGAAGTGGAAAAGGAAATCATAGTTTAATTATGTGGCAACAACGGGAGCCCAATAAGTCAGGCAGACAGCTAATGAGGAGCTGGGAGGTCAGCGTGCCCGAGGAGAGCAGGGCCAGGACAGTCAGAGCGAGAGTGGGCAGAGCGTCCATGGCAGGAGCACGCTCACAGCGGAGGCTCGGTGACATCACCACTGCAGATGTGAAAGCAGAGCTTGGCCTGTCCAGAAGGGAAGGTTTTTATTTACGAAACAAACAATTGTCTGGTGGCACAGTAACCATAATTCCCCACGACAACCTCCCATGAAGTACCAATGTTTTTCTGTCCTGCAAACGTGACCTCAGAGCAAGAGTCCAAACTAGCAAAATTTCACTGCGAGAGAGATGCCCAGGGTGTGGATCCGGGTTCTGACCCCGGGGTCTGGGTTCTCCCTTATCCTCCTCCTCACTTATGAAAGAGCACTCTCACAGTGTGCCTGCAAAGGGAGATGCCATTTAGTTATTAAAGGGTGCTGCCTGAAGATGAATTGCTTTTATCTAGAACATGCCTCAGCTGCTTCAAGGCACATGCTCAGTGTGGGCGTCATCTGGACCAAGACTTCTAAAACTAAGCATAGAACAAAACTACCTTTCCCATTTGGACGAGCCACATGGCTATGTGAACTGGGCTTGGAGAATGAAAAAAAAACACTGTAGACGATTAAGGAGCTAGGATTGGGTGGGAGAATTAGGGCAAATGAAAATTTTTGCCCATCCTTTCCTGGATATGCTGTTCATCAGGGACTAGAAGCATCTTCAGTGTCTCTATTTCATGGTAGGTCAGTCCCTCCCTCATACCCACTGCTGCCAAGCAACATGTGGGTTTCAATAGCAAAGGAAAATTCTGAAGGACAGAAAAATCAATCTATGTGTTCCATGCTTATAGACCTTGAGTTCCCAGTGTTTTAGGACAGCAGATGACCGTCACACACACATGGTAAATCTGTCCTTATGTATATGGTTGTGTCACAAGAAAGAGGTATATTGAAAGATGTATTTTCAATTCCCAAGAGTGACCAGTTAAGACTGATCTTGCCTTGGAGAGCTCAGATGAGGAGTCAGGAGTGCTTCTTAAGAAGCATTTTCTCTGTTGGTTGATGTGTTCTCTTCCTAGTGTCCTTTTTTCCCAGGGCCTGCTAATCTCTCTCCTGTATCTTGCCTAACACATCTGCTCAGTCACTCATGGCCTTCCCTGAGCCCTCTTCCATCTCAAGATACACTCTATCTTTCTGTGACTTGTGAACTGGCTCCACATAGGGGGTAAATCTGGGCAGGACTTGAGATTCAGACACCAACAGGTTTAGGGGAACATGCATTGTAGTTTTAATGAGACAGCACAGCAGGGTCTCATATGGCTGTGCCATCAATTCTTCATGGATAACGTATTAAAGAAACTGCACAGATAACCTGCTTGTTATTAAGTGCAGGATTCAGAAACCGGTAACAGTGAAAATTGATTGCATTTTATACATATGATGGGGTGGGTTTCATTTCCTAATTGCTTTTTAAAAAGTCAATCAATCTCAGTGTCTTAAAATTGCTCACTACATCCATCCAAAGGAGGCCTTGATGTTCCTGGATTCATAAGGAATTCTTAGTGGCCATTTCCAAGCAGAATGATTTATCTGCAGATGTCCAAATTTTCCTCTGCTTTGGGCAAGTTGGAGTTCGTTTGCTGATTCAAATTAGGGTGTATTCATATTTTGATAGTTTGGCAAGCTTTGTTGTTAGTCGCCAAGTTGTGTCAAAACTCTTTGGGACCCCAAGTACTGCAGCATGCCAGGTTTCTCTGTCCCTTCACCATCTCCTGGAGTTGGCCCAAGTTCATGTCCATGGAATCGGTAAGCTACCCCCTGCCTAAAGCTATTCTCACCCACAACCAGGAGGTGGGGTTTTCACTCAGCTTTAAACAGGACTTTACACTACTTTTTATGCATGTGAAAAGATGAATATGGTTTTCTTCTCTCCATGTCACTGATGACTGAATAAAATTAATGCATTTTATTTGACATGTACATGTAAAATACAATTGACCAATTTTTCATGCAACTTCACATACTGTTTTATATTCTGTAGTTTTATTGTGCACACACACATATAGACATACATGAACACATGCACTCTGATTCATTTCTTATATTTTTTATACAATAAAATAAAATAGAAATCTTTCCTTCATCTTATCTCCCTTTATTTTGGAATGCTTCCTCTATTTGATCACCATACGGTATTTTCTACACTTTAGTCTGGGTGTTATATTGTATGACATATTTATAAATGTTACATATCCTGATGAACTCAGTTTTGAATTAGTCCCTGTCTGATGTAAACATGGCTACCTCTGCTCTCATTACTTCCATTTATGTGGAGTATGTTTTCCATCCCTTTGAGTCCATATGTCTATCCCAGAAAAACGTGGCATAAATTAATTACAAACATGTGTTCTCCATTTTGCCACCTGTGAAACATGGATACTAGTCATGTTCAAATGGGTACCAAGGCTCAGGCCTTCTTGTTACCCTGGTGGAAGGAAGCTCCACCTTCCCCTCTCACAGCCTCCTGTGTTCATGTATGGTAGGGGCTGGGACTCCTGGGTCTCACTCCCAGTTGGGGATTTGTGGATTCACGGGTGCTGACAGGGCAATATGGGCAAGGTCAGGAGACCATGGCTGCTTCTGCTCCCCCTGCTTTCTGGGTGTTTCATGCACCACTATGAGGGGCAGCACTTTTGTCATCACATGAATTAGTGTATGTATGTCAGGCATTCTAGAAGGGGATACTCCAAATGCCTTCCATCTTCTTCATGTTCTAGTTTGTTTTCACTAGCAGTTACCTGACACTGAATCTTCAGATGCGTGCCAAGAGTGGTGCTAAGTTGGACACGTGCACAGCGATTACAGCTCTAGAGTTTCTCTCCTCTGTGGTTTACTTATTTAAAGGATAACTTATAACTGAAGGTATTTCTACACTAATTACAGATATATATTGGAATTTCTCTGACATGTGATTTATCTGCTTAACAGTTACAGCTGAGGATGAAGATTCCTCCACATTCATTCCATTTACAGTTTGTTCTCCCATGAGTCCACTGCTAAAGGTTTTGTTATACGGGTGACATATATATGGATTCCATCTACTGTGAATTAACGTTAGTTAATTAATAAGGATGAATAAAGGCTCTTATACATTGAAAATAAACACAGTATTTCTTCACTGTGTGAGTCCTCAAGAGTGTTTATACTTTGAAGGTATGGGTGGTGAATCTTCATTTATTAACTTTACAGCATGAGTTCTCTCGTGTTGTCTGAGGTTAAAATATTTACTGAAGGCTTTTCCACATAGGTAACATTTATATGGTTTCTCTCCAGTGTGAATTCTCTTATGCAATCTAAAGTTATAACTTCTATTGAAGGCTTTACCACATATATTGCATTCATATGGTTTCTCACCCGTGTGAGTTCTTTCATGTCGTCTAAGGACAGAAGAGTGATTGAAGGCTTTCCCACATAGGTGACATTCATATGGTTTCTCTCCAGTGTGAGTTCTTTCATGTCGCTTAAGGACAGAAGAATCAGTGAAGGCTTTCCAACACAGGTGACATTCATATGGCTTCTCTCCAGTGTGAGTTCTCTCATGTCGTCTAAGGACAGAAGACTCAGTGAAGGCTTTTCCACATAGATGGCATTCATATGGCTTCTCTCCAGTGTGAGTTCTCTCATGTTTTCTAAGGTGAGAACAATGAGTGAAGGCCTTCCCACATAGATGACATCCATATGGCTTCTCTCCGTTGTGAGTTCTCTCATGTTGTCTAAGGTAAGAAGTTTTACTGAAAGTCTTCCCACACAGGTGGCATCCATATGGTTTCTCCCCAAAGTGAGTTCTCTCATGTTTTCTAAGGTCAGAACAATGAGCAAATGCCTTCCCACACAGATGACATTCATTTGGTTTCTCTCTGGTGTGAATCACCTCATGTCGCCTAAGATTATAACTTTTACTGAAGGCTTTGCCACACAGATGACATCCATATAATTTCTCTCCAGTGTGAACTCTTTCATGTTTTCTAAGGTCAGAACAATGAGTGAAGGATTTTCCACAAAGATGACATCCATGTGGTTTCACTCCAGTGTGAATCATCTCATGTCGTCTAAGGTTAGAACTTTTACAGAAGGCTTTCCTACATACATGACATTCAAATGTTTTCTCTCCAGTCTGAGTATTACTGTGTTGTCTATGGGCAGGACTTTGAATAAAGGCATTCCTTCGTTGATGACATGCATATGATTTACTTCTAGAACGAATCTGCTTCTGTATATTAAAGGATGGCAAGTAAATGATGGCTTTTCCAACATCTTGGCTAATAATGGGTTTCTTTCCCACTTGAGGTATTACATACTGAGTCAATGGTAAGATTTCAGCAAATTTTTCTCTGAAACTGTTGCATTCCAAAGGATCCTCTTGACTGTGAGAACTCTGCTTTTTGAAATGAAATGAGAGATTGTTACAAGTTTGCCCAATTTATTCATTCCTTCTGTTCTCTACATATAAATTCTAGGGTAATCATTCAGTGACAGACTCCAGTTAAAATTGCTTCTATATTTTTAATATTTACATAAACATGAGGTATTACTCTCTTGCAAGCCTAGATTTACCTTTTGTAATATCCCAACTGCAGAGATACCTATTTAATTTTAAAGATGTTATGATGTTTAAGTGTTTAGGAATATAATCTACAATTACATAACTGTCTATTTATAAGACTATAAACTGTCTATAGTTCTGACTATGGGTTAATCTTTTCTTCCTTAAAACCATACTAATTAAAATTTTCTCCTGTGGAATTCCATGATCTCAACTTTAATTAAATCAGGTATGTATGCCAAATTCCCAACTTATTCAAGTCCCAGGTCTTCATCTGGAGGAACATGTTTATACTTGTGAAGCTTACCATTGCACTAATTAGAGGTGTGTTCTTCTTGCAGATATGCTGCATAGGTAACATTTCTTGTTTTTTCAGATCATCTTCTATATCTGAAATGACTAGAAAAAAATAAATTACTATAGTGGTATCAGTGGAAGTAAAATGTTGAAGCGACTCAATGCTCATTTGTGTCTGTTTCAAGTACTGACACACAGATGGGAAAGAATGTCAAATTAGGGAATACTCTAAAGAGAGAAGAAACACATATAACAACTGTCATTCTCAGGACTGAATTATGAGGAAGATAAAATGAATACAGCATGTTGGGGAAGAAAAGAGAATATCCTATTCATAGAACAGGACCATGAAAAGGGACGTTTTGTGAATATTTATTAATTCCAGTGGGTACACAAATTTCACTTTGTGTAAAGCCAAGGACAATGGCAGAAAGCCTTGTGAACAGAAAATTGATACCTTCAAGGTATGACAACATCTGAAAAGTGTTTCCCCATGACACTGTCTAAATTTTAAAAACAGCCTACAACGCAGGAGACCCCAGCTGATCCCTGGGTCAGCAAGATCCCCTGGAGAAGGAACAGGCTACCCAACAGTTTTCTTGGGCTTCCCTGGTGGCCCAGACAGTAAAGAATCCACCTGCAATGTGGGAGACCTGGGTTCCTTCCCTGGGTTGGGAAGATTCCCTGGAGAAGGGATCGGCTACGCACTCCAGTATTCTTGCCCGGAGAATTCCATGGACAGAGGAGCTTGGCAGGCTACAGTCCATGGGGCCACAAAGAGTCAGACACGACTGAGCAACTTTCACTTGATTTCTTAGGGGCTATTCACTCACTGACCAGGCTCCTCCTCCTACTGAAGTACAGGTTCTCGGAGCTCACCTGGACTCTGACCTTGCAGGAAGCCTAACTCTTCTCTTGAAAGTTGCTCTCCTTGCTCCAAATGGGAAATCACATCTGATTTGTAAAGCTGATTACCTGTTTGTAGGAGAAAGATATGTGGATTTTGAGTTCCATGCTCATAACAGTGCATGATCATCAGTACAGAGCAGACTAATGAGGAAGAATACAATAACTGCTAAAGGTCAGCACAGAGAAGAGTATGTTGAAAACAACACATATAGCCTTTGTCTAGCAAAATGATAACTCTTCAACTTGTTTCCAAAGACATTAAGGACCTATCACTGCTAATGCCCATGCCCAAGTTCAAAGACAGACTATGGAATCTGCAATATTTTCATTTCATAGTGCTTTAATACTATATTCCAAAAAGAATCCAATATATACAACTTCCACCAGAAAAATCTAAGTTCTATGTGGAAAACAATATATGTTATTTTTAACACGGTGATCTGATCAAACCACAGTCCTTGCTGTAAAATAATTTTAAGAAATCAATACATTTATTTATCCATACAAAAATAGTGAGTTCCCACCACTGCTTGAGCATCAGAGACTGAGTAGCAACGAAGACTCAAAGTTGTGTAAGCAAGATTACATTGCAGTGGGATTGACAAACTAAATATAAGCAGTGAAATGAGTGAAAGTCACTCAGTCATATATGACTCTTTGTGACCCCATGGACTATACAGTCCATGGAATTCTCCAGGCCAGAATACTGGAGTGGGTAGCCTTTCCCTTCTCCAGGGGATCTTCCGAACTCAGGGATCAAACCCAGGTCTCCTGCATTGCAGGCGGATTCTTTACTAGGTGAGCCACCAGGGAAGCCCCCCAAAATATAAGAACTAAAGAAAGTTTTGATAAGGTAGTTGCAAGAGTTATAATAAAGAGTCAAAACAGAATCTGGAGTGAGAAATGGGAAAGTTTTCCTCCATCTGTGTTGAATGAATACATACACACATCATTAAAGAGTAACAGACTAACCAACTAAGACCAGATGACTGATGTTCTCCAGCATCACATCTCTGAACAGCTTTCTCTGGGAGGTGTCCAGGAGGGCCCACTCTTCCTGGGTGAAGTCCACAGCTATATCCTCGAAGGTCACTGATTCCTAAAACATCACAGACATTGTTTTAGACACGGCCATCTCTGCCAGGGGAGGAGTTACAGGTATAAGGCACTAAGGAAGTAGCAACTGAGTGTACAGAATCTCAAACAGTATTTTGGGTCCAATCAAAGCATTCTCATTGTTGACATGAACCTCTGACTTTCAGATAAACCTACGAAGACACACACACTCTAAATACAGAAAACTTCATTATAAAAAGACAATACAAGGCGTGATTTAACAAACTGTGGAGATTTCCCAATAGATTTGTAATTACAACTTCCAAATCATGATTATAAAATTTCCACTTGAAAAACTGAACAGTCTTCAATTCAATTTCAAGTAAATCTAAGACTCATCACAAGGGATGATGTATCCATGATATGCCCCTTTTAAAACAAGACTGTGGTTAGATTATTCCTCTATATGGCCTCAGTTTCTTCATCAGTGAAATGGTTTTTAACAATCTGTCATGAGTTCTGAAAGATCTAATGACTTAATATGTGAAGTGCTAACTATCTAGCAGCCATTTCTTAAATATAACTTTTAGGTTTAATATTCAGGAAATGGTAGAGAATATTGAAGGAACATCCAGAATTCTGCCTAACTGACTAGCATTCATACAGGTCTTGGGATCAGCAGGCACAAGCTTTCATCTTACAAAGCTGAGGTGTTTGCTATAAAGGGTGAGTGAGTCAGCAGCTCACACCACAGGTCTGAGACTTCTGCACAGAAGGACAGTCTTATCCTGACCCTTCCTATGTCTGAGGCCTCCCTTTCTCAATTATCCTGGGACCTCCAAGTATCAGTTATTATTGTCCCTTTTGTTTCGATGTCTTGTCTCTGTATTCAAGCACACCTGAAGCTATCTGATTGCTCTGGCCTCTTTCGTTCATGGAAAACTTCCTCAGGGCTTAAAGTAGTACTCTACCTCCTATATTCTTTCTTCTGAATCACAGCTCAAAATAAGAAAACACTACTCTCTACACACTGTTTCCAGTTATGAAATGTGAAAAAGCAGAAATTACAAAGAGGGAAAAATTTATGACTTGGGACATTGGTAATAGCACCTATAACACTGGACTCATCAATGTCATCTGTGGAAACATCTGCCTCTCCAGTGGGTAGGTTGCAATGTTTTCCTCCTTACTCATCTCCATCGTCTGTATTCACCTCAATCCTAAGCTCATCACAGTTAATAAAATGGTTAATGACTATCTTTTTTTTTTTGCCAAGTGGGCCATGGGCTGCATGAAGAAAAGAAAACCTCTCTTATCTCTTCTTGCATACATGGCATTAATAAAGACTGGAACATCTTATTATAATGTTGGGTAGGAATGACCATTTGATGAGTCCTTGACCCAACATGACCATTCCAGAATTCTGGGGAACTTAACTGAAGCTCAGATCCTTGAACAACCTTTCAAGTGCACTTAGAACATGTGTGCCTGTAGGAGAATTAAGTCCATACACTGGCAATAGGGCTTCCCAGAAGGCTCAGTGGTGAAGAATCCGTTTGCTAATGCAGGAGACTCGGGTTGGACCCCTGGGTCAGGAGGATCCCCTGGAGAAGGATATGACAACCCACTCCAGAATTTTTGCCTGGGGAATCCCACGGACAGAGGAGCCTGGCGGGCTACAGCCCATGGGGTTCCAAAGAGCCGGACAAAACTGAGCATATACCCCACCACCAGCACTGGCAATAGAGATTAGAAAACAATTTCTACTGCCAATTTCAGTAGAAAGAGTAATTTCCTACCCACCCGAGATTCCATTGTAATTAGTTCAACTGCCAACGTAGTCTGGGTTTTCACTTATACACAGTCCAAGCAACAGGAAGCAGAGCTGAGGAAGAAGAAAAAAGTCATGAGACTCTTAGCTGTCCACAATCTCCATATTCACTTGTCATGAAGCCCCAACCCTTCACCTGGAAGTAGCTCTCAGGACAACCAAAAGAAACATGCACTGTGCTCCATGAGAAATACAAGTAGAGCTCTTCTCTACCAGGATCA